GACCTGGTCGCTGGCAATAACGCCCATGCTAGTGTTTTTTTTTCGTTCCGTCAAGTTTAATTCGTTCGTGTGCTTTGGGAGCCAAACATTATGGAGTATTAATAGTGACGAGATTTACAGCATGACTGATGCGAATTGTACACTCTCGATCTCTAAACGACCTTCGGTATAGCGTTCGTAGTGGAGTCAGTTGAAAATCGAGCGCATAGGCGTTTTTACGTGTCAGAGTTCTCAATATTGATAAACACAGTATTTCAGCCACCAGAACATCAAATTTACTTGAATACTTTATTTGCTAGTCACCCGTTGCCTTTACATAATACATGGCATCTTGTAGTGGGTGGCGGCTTGAAAGCCCAACCATGACCACACCCTACAGTCGAGAATGACGAACAAGCTGGGTGGGCAGCAGGTGGTTGCAGTCAGCCACCAGCTTGCCAGCTTGTTGTAGATCTACAACTGCAAGTTGCAGTTCGTCATCTCAAGCTGGTTGAGGTTCTAGTAGGAGTTTCTACTAGAGGCTGAACTATCACTAGGACGCTGGTGATAGCGGTGTAGATCTTTGGATTGCATGCATATTTCCTTTCTCACTTTACATTTTACCAAGACACAAGCAATACAATCGGCGATACCTTAAGGAAGTGCCAGCTTCCTCTGACCGTCTTGTATTCATTACTGCGACCTACTACACATCTGCTTACCCTTCCATAGCGAACGGATACTCGGCAGTCTGGTAATGCTTGAAATACACAGGAACGCACTCTGCCCCGCCTGAAATGAGAAACATTCGAAGGATGTTCGGGTTTCCGGATTGTACGATAGGAGTTTCGTAGGAATATCTATTTTGGGCAGAAAGATCAGAACACCAGGAGAAGCAGAGTCTGCGAGAACCAGCTCGCGGTGACCACTTTGGAGGTCATTATCGAGTTTTCCTCGTGCCAATAACCCGCCTCACCACGCCCTTCATTGCGGACTGGATGCAGGTCAATCAAGCAAATTGCCCCCAAACGACTGAGTTACTAAAATACTTATCATGTATCTTGACGCACAAGTGGAAAACGTATACGTCTGATGCTACAGAGAAGAGCGTCCACGGACACCAGATCGCTCGCAACGACGTCAATGTCGTTAGCGCGTCCTTTCTTGTCGTTAAGAATGTTCCGTGCTTCCGCGTTTGTAGATCCTGCTACGATAGATAGACTAAGGGCGGAGCAAAATTTAACAGTAACGAAAAATCAACCTATAATTTAGAACAGCGACCGCATTGCTGTCGGTTCGTTGCTTTAAGTTATCTGTCATTTCCATGTTCCTGGGAAAGCAGTGTGTGCTACTTGGACAGCCCAAACAGATTGATTCGTTGAAGCCGGTAACGAAAGCTGGTAAACTGAGTCCGGGTGTCCAGATTCCAGCAATATTTTGACCATGAAAACGCGGGTTACTGAATGCGCCGTGCTACTGTGTACGTAAAGACGGTATAAT